TAACCATGTTCTATCCAGTTGAATCAATATTGTCCAGCATAATCATTAGTAAGTGGTTAAGTTGGTAAAGTAAATAAGAGCCATAAGGTATTTTACTTATTGTAAAGGATGGTTTAAAAAAACATTTGCTAATATTATAAAAGGAATGTTATAATCTTAATAAAAAATAAAAAATAGAATGACATTTAGTACAATAAAAAAAAAATCTTTGATTAATTTATTCCAATGAATTGCAAAAAAAAAAAGAAACTAGGCCTCGTTTAGCCATCATATCGAGCCCAATAAAAGAAGAGCAAACATACATGCCTGCATCTAAAATGGAGGGACACCGCTTTATCCATTTTTTTTTTTAAAAAAAAAGAAGAAGAAGTAGGTAATGCGTCACATGTAAATGTAGACGATGTATCACCGAATGGCGCATATTTGGCCACCTTAAGTGGCTAAAACGATTAGGCTATGCCCTTTTTGCTCTCGGTTCAATTTCTTTTACCCACCAAAACTTATGGTCATGGACGTGGAGTATAAATTCTATTTTACAAATTTTATTTGGAATATAAAGATACAGTTCAATCAATATAAGCTGACTCGATGTATACACGCGCACGCGCACGCGCACTTTGATATATCCCCTGAAAGAATTACGTGGCGTTGCATACGGCGTGCTCTTTAGGCCCACCGAGTGTCGAGAACGCGCTGCACGGAAGCATGCGCCTAGCAAAGTCATAGAACACGCCATGATTCCTATAATGCCCTCGCAGAAGGACACCGCACAAGCACTTTAATTTTTTTTCTTTTTTTCTGGATTTGTTTCTTATTGTTTGATCTGCTGCTCCATTATCGAAAACTCTTTAGAATATCACAAAAATATAAAAACATAAAATTCTGTTGGTAAGAGATACTGTTCCTGTCGGGTGACGAGAGCATTGCCTGTACTTCTCCAAGATCTATGTGGTCGTGCCTCCTTTCCGAACTCATGAGTTGCCACAAACCGTCAGTTCATGATCACCTGTTCAATTGTTTTTGTTTTATGGTCAATGATTCGGGTGATTAATTTGATATTCTACTGATAAATGCACGTCAATTTTTCTTTTTATATTTATCACGCTCCATGTGTTATTTTTTTACCACGGCGTGGCCTTGCAAAGCCAGCAGGGGAGGCGAGCCATTGGTCCCCAGTAAAAAAATGCCAGGGAAATTTAAAATCAAATTACGGCTTCACCTAATTAATTTCTCATTTTAAAAGAAATCTGATTAATATTTATGATTTATCAAAAGCTTAGAGTTACGACAAAACTTTACTGGGAATATAAAGCATGTTATGAAATAATTCACGATAATAAAATTAGATATTTAATAATCTATTGCCAAAAAAAAGCTAAAGAAGCATTCAGTATTTTATTTGTTTATTGAAGTTCGAGTCCAGCATGAGTGGCGAATGATTGTTTGTTGTATGATTATTCAGTTTTGAATCTTAAAAGAATAAAAGAAAAATATGAAAATTTGAAGAATGAACCAATTCAGATGTAAATGACCTCTCGAGACTCCATTGTGATAAAGCTTGGTCGCATATTTGAAAGTTAAATTATCCTAATCTCCGTGCTTTATCATAGGGGTCGAGAAACTAAATGAAATGATCCGTAATTCAGGATACCATCAATGGCTCTGGTTGATCCACTGATTTCATCCGACGAAGTTAAAAATTCACCCTTCAGTGGACTAAAACTCCTCATTATTAATAAACAATAATAACTAAAAGATGTGGTGAAATAACAGTTCACTATGTTTACCGCAATGAATTACAAATATTAATTTATAATTCTTTTTTATTGAATTTTTGTTATATATGTATTATCAAATTTATCTTTTAATATTAATACTAGACTAACTAATAATTTAACTTCATTATTTTTTTATAAGATTAACATGATTTATAGATCTATTAAGATAATCTGAATTGTTTTAATTTGTGATTTTGAAGAAGCATTTTTTTTTAATTAAACTTGTTTTTTTTAATTTTTTTTATATAGTTAAGAAAATAATTTCGAAGAAAAATCATGTTATTAGATTTTATAATCACTAAAAACTAAAGGGTGCAGACAAATCATTGTTTATCCGTGCATATTACACCATGAATCACAATGTTTTGCTTCTTCTTTTTTTTTCTTTTAGTTATTGAATTTTTTTAACATTATTTTTATTGATTTCATTATTTAATATTAAAATGATTAAGAATTTAGTTTTATAATTTATTCATTTTATTTTTTCTTTTTATAATTCTAGTATTATTTTCAAGTTTGGCATGATAACTAAAGTTGTTTCTAGTTTTAAGTTTTGATGGATTTTTTTTATTTTCTTTTCTATTTGAACTTGAATTTTTTTTTGTCTGATTTTTTTATATATGGTTAAAATGATAGTTTTAGATAAAAATTATGTTATTGAACTTTACACAGTTTATGGACATGTTTTAAGGTTTAACTAGCTGTCCTGGTTTATGGGTCTATCGAGGTTTTTTTTTAATTTTATCCTTGGATATTAAATTATTTGAAAAGTTTACTTTTAAGTTGGTATTTAAGTATGTATGCATCTATTTTTATTATATAATTAAATAAAAATATTTTTATAGAAAAATATCAAACCCAGAGAATTTATGACCCGGGTCGTGGGAGAACCGAAATCGATTCAATATGTCATCATCTCAATATATATATAGTTAAAATTATTATCTTGAAATTTTTTTAAAAATTAAGTCATGTTTTTATCAATTATCAATGTTTTATTTAGACTCATAAAATCAATTTATTTAAATTAGGCTAACTCTTACATAATTTAATTTAAAAATCAAGTCATGCAAAAAGCTTAGCTAAAAAACTTTAATATTAACCTGTTTATAAAAAAAATCTATACTTTTATTTTTTTAAAAAAAATTAGGCTTGCGTGCCTCTAATTTTTACGTACTCTTTACTTATTGTATGTTTATTTTTATGTTTTAAAAATATTTATAAAAAAATTAATTTTTTTAATTAATTTTTTGAGATCATTTTAATAAATTGGTATTCAAAATAATTTTTATAAATAAATAAATATTTTAATATATTTTTAAATAAGAATTATTTTAAAAATTAGCTAGTACTATATTTTCAAACATTCCATGAAAAAGAGTAGAATAGACAGGCACTTGCGTTTTTTTATTAAACGACGAAAATAAACAATCTTTAACTGGATGGCTGGAACTGTCATTCTCACAAGCTGCAGTACCTTGCCATATTCTTCGCTCCTCCGACGAGAGCTATCATTGTATTGCCAACCCCATGCACCTTTAACAAGCAAAAGACAAGCCTCAATGCCTACATCATAGTCTCTAGTCCGTACTCAATTAATTGACGACACGTTTGTGGATAATGTCAAGCCATTTTTGAACAGCCCTTCCATTAAAAAATATCACCGGTAAAACGACTACGTAGAAAGATGCTGGATCTAACTCAAAAATACTGAAAAGTTTCGAGCATCAGGCGACTTGGTTCCAAGCTGCGTCTTCATCCTGAGAATACTTCGGCAACAACACTGATGATAGACTGAGTTTTAGATTAATATTTTATAATTATTTTAATGTTCAGCTCTCAAAAATAAATTCTAGAAAATAAAAAATACATATTTTAATATCTCTTTTTTTAAAAAAAAAAACACATCACTCACAGGCATCCTCGAAGTCAAAAGAATCACAAAAAAGCAGCACAGTTTTAGTATACTGTGCGGTTATTATTAAGTGCACATTCATGGCCATACACAGTGGAATCAAATTACTGGACATTGTGGGCAATTCATGGAATGTGAAAACATCCCCGTCAGTTTGTTGAAAACTTAGGATACCAAAATGTGAAATCACACAGTGACAGGCCGCATGTACCTTGCTCGAGCATTCAAGCATGCATGTTGCAACTTTATACGGTCATTTGGATATAGTGAAAATAAAAATAAAAATTACATGTGCATCAAAACTGTTTTAATTCGTTGGTGCAGTGACGGACTGCTGTTATATTATTATTTGCTAGATAATAATATAAATTATATTTTAAAATTTTATTTAATATTTTAATTTATTATATTGAAATAATTTTTTGATATGCTATTAGAACTTTAATGATTAAGCGGTGATAGAATAAATTTTACCATTCATATTTATTTAATAAAAAATAAATATAAGATAACTTGAGCATGTATAAGTTTTAAATTTAAAGAGCTTTCATATGAAAGAATATGTTAGATAATAATATAAATTATATCCTGACACCTTATTTAATAACTTAAACTATTAAAAAAATATAATATAAATGTTTTTGATTGTGTATTTTAATAATAAAATTAAAATTTTATATTTTTTAAAATATAAGTTATTTATTATGAGTAATTATATCTTCTTTACAAGATCCGCTTATCACTATAAAATTGATGGGAAATAGATTTTTTTTTCATATCTCTTTTACATGATATAATTACTTAGTTATTCTAAAAAAATATATATTTTACGTTCAAGAACCCTTTTAATGTTCCACTCTTCAAAGCATATTAAAAGGAATATATTTCTTTTAAAATCAAAATTTTCTTTCGTGACCTCTCGAGGCTTATTTATATTTTGATTTTAATTTTTTTAATTATCATATTATATCATAAATAATTTGATATATCAAATTATTGATGACATGACATGATTTATAAGAAGAGGGAGGTAGTGTTGAACAACAACAGAAGTCTCCCTCATGCCACCATACTTGAATCCCCGGGTTGGGATTCGCGAGGGGGGGAAAAGGAGAATTAATTGGGGAAAAAAAGCATTTAAAATAACAGTTTCAAGAATATGGTGGGAAATTGAAATGACTTTCTTGGATCCTGCGAGGAACAATGGCAACAACGTAATTTTGATCAATTTGTTAGCGAAAGAAAAAGGAAACAAGGAATGATGAAAAGTGGTAACAAAGGAAAAGAAAACCCATAGTGGTATGTGGAGAGAGCAGACAAGGGAATAAGACTGCAAAAGAAGAGGTGTGCGAGAGAGTGTAGATACGCAAGAATTGGAGACTGGAAATAAAGAGCGGAGGAGGTCTCTCTGTGTGTATATAGCAGCAGTAGCAGTTCCTCGGTTTCTCTTTCTTTCATATATGATTTACCCTCCACTGCCACCATCGGTCATGGGCACCAAGAGAACCCACTGAAGCAAAAACTATGATCATGAAACACCCTCTGCACCCAGCACTATCAAAAAGCATAATCATCTCTCCCAGTCAAAACCTTCCTTCCCTTAAATTTACCTCTCTTAACTCCACATTTCTCTCAACCAGATTTCTCACCTCCCCATAACCATGAAACTCCCTTTTCTTTTCTTTCTACTTGCTTTCTTCTTCTACTTGTTCGAACCTCCTCTTCTAGTCTTCTCTGATACGGCCCTGCCTCCCCCCCTCCAATCTCTTCTCTCCATTAAGACCTTCCTCAAAGACCCTTCCAATACCTTCCATGATTGGAACTTTCCCAACACAAGTGGCTTAATCCAAGAACCAGTCTGGTGCTCGTGGTCCGGCATCAAGTGCAACCCAGCCACTGCTCAAATCACATCTCTCGATCTCTCTCACCGGAATCTTTCTGGTGCAATCCCTGCTGAGATTAGATACTTGACGAGCTTGGTTCACTTGAATTTGAGTGGAAATACTTTTGATGGGCTTCTTCAACCTGCCATTTTTGAACTGAGTGACCTTAGGATTCTTGACATCAGCCACAACAACTTCAATTCAACATTCCCACCTGGGATTTCCAAGCTCAAGTTCTTGAGAGTCTTCAATGCATACAGCAACAACTTCACTGGTCCATTGCCTAAAGAATTCGTCTGGCTGCGCTACCTGGAGGAGCTCAACCTTGGTGGGAGCTACTTCACGGGAGAGATTCCAAGGAGTTATGGAAGTTTCCTCAGATTGAAGTACCTGCACTTAGCTGGGAATGAATTGGAAGGACCATTGCCACCCGACTTAGGATTCTTGAGTCAGCTCGAGCACCTGGAGCTTGGCTACCATCCACTCCTATCAGGCAATGTACCAGAAGAATTTGCTTTGTTGACTAATCTCAAGTACCTAGATATCTCGAAGTGTAATCTATCAGGCAGTCTCCCACCACAACTTGGAAATCTTACCAAACTCGAGAATTTGCTCCTTTTCATGAACCGGTTTACTGGTGAAATCCCGGTGAGCTACACAAATCTGAAAGCTCTAAAAGCACTTGATTTATCCGTTAATCAGCTTTCAGGGGCAATTCCAGATGGGTTATCTTCCTTGAAAGAGCTAAACAGGTTGAGCTTGCTGAAAAATCAGCTCACTGGCGAAATACCACCGGGAATTGGCGAGCTACCATACCTTGACACGTTAGAGCTCTGGAACAACAACCTAAGCGGAGTTCTTCCGCAAAAGCTTGGATCCAATGGGAATCTACTATGGCTGGACGTCTCAAACAACTCGCTCTCCGGCCCAATTCCTCCAAATCTATGTCAAGGAAACAAGCTTTACAAGCTGATTCTGTTCTCCAACAAGTTTCTCGGTAAATTACCAGATTCTCTAGCAAACTGCACCTCTTTGTCCAGGTTCCGAATTCAAGACAACCAGCTCAACGGCTCAATCCCTTATGGATTAGGGCTCCTGCCTAATCTTTCCTATGTGGATTTAAGCAAGAATAACTTCACAGGTGAAATTCCTGACGATCTTGGCAATTCAGAACCACTTCATTTCTTGAACATCTCTGATAACTCCTTCCACACTGCTTTACCAAGCAATATATGGAGCGCGCCAAATCTTCAGATTTTTTCAGCCAGTTCATGCAAGCTCGTGAGCAAAATACCAGATTTTATCGGTTGCAGCAGTCTGTATAGGATAGAATTGCAAGACAACATGTTCAATGGCAGCATTCCATGGGATGTTGGCCATTGCGAGAGGCTCATTTCTCTTAATTTAAGCCGCAATTCTCTTACTGGTATTATTCCGTGGGAGATTTCTACACTTCCTGCTATCGCTGATGTCGATTTGTCCCATAATTTACTCACCGGTTCCATTCCTTCAAATTTTGGTAACTGTTCTACGTTGGAGAGTTTTAATGTGTCCTATAATTTGTTAACTGGACCCATTCCTGCATCGGGTACAATATTTCCAAATTTGCATCCGTCTTCCTTTTCGGGCAATCAAGGATTATGCGGTGGCGTTTTGCCAAAGCCTTGTGCTGCGGATACTTTGGGAGCTGGAGAAATGGAGGTCCGCCATAGACAGCAGCCCAAAAGGACTGCTGGGGCTATAGTGTGGATTATGGCGGCTGCTTTTGGTATTGGATTGTTTGTGCTTGTTGCTGGGACTAGGTGTTTCCATGCTAACTATGGCCGCAGATTTAGTGATGAACGAGAGATCGGACCGTGGAAATTAACTGCCTTTCAACGGCTGAATTTCACGGCTGATGATGTGCTCGAGTGTCTATCAATATCGGACAAGATCTTAGGGATGGGGTCAACGGGGACGGTCTATAAGGCGGAAATGCCAGGTGGCGAGATCATAGCGGTGAAGAAACTGTGGGGCAAGCATAAGGAGAACATCAGGAGGAGGAGAGGGGTACTAGCCGAGGTGGATGTTTTAGGTAACGTGAGGCATAGGAATATAGTGAGATTGCTAGGATGTTGCAGTAATAGGGAGTGTACAATGTTGCTGTACGAGTACATGCCTAATGGGAACTTACATGATTTGCTGCATGGGAAAAATAAGGCAGACAATTTGGTGGGTGATTGGCTTACAAGGTACAAGATTGCACTGGGAGTGGCACAGGGGATTTGCTATTTGCATCATGATTGTGATCCTGTGATTGTGCACCGAGATCTTAAGCCTAGTAATATATTATTGGACGGTGAGATGGAGGCTAGAGTGGCAGATTTTGGGGTGGCAAAGCTGATCCAAAGTGATGAATCCATGTCAGTCATTGCTGGGTCTTATGGCTACATTGCGCCAGGTACGGTTCTGGTCCTATTGCTGTTTCTCTTTTATTTTTATTTTTATGAGATTTGTTTGTGCCCTTCAATTGCATTTCACCTTACGAGTAGTAAACAGAAAACGTGGGTAATTTTGAATTGAAATTTGATCGTCAACAGTCGACTTTTGTGAGAATACAGAGTCCCTGTCTCGTACTGCAGTGAAGAACTGGATCGATTAGTTATGGTCGTGTAATAGAACAAAACAAAACAAAAGAGGAAAGGCAATTGTGTGACAAGTGGGCGGTTGATTTTAGGACGGAAAGCACAGAAATTATATTTTCTTGCTTGGAGATCCTCAATGTATCTTCTTCGCTTGCTTTTCTTTCTTTCTGCCGTATTTGCATACACAGGACTAGATCGAAGCCGGTCTCGTTTGAAATTCTTGGATACCTTTTGTCTATTTTTGCATAGTTCGTTTGGTGGTATATCTAGAACTTGGAGTGTCAAATCTTGAAACAGGACATGGGAATTAGAGATGGTGACATACCGAAAACACTTTCTATTTTTTTTGCTTTTCTTTTTTTTTCTTGATTCTTATGGCATGAAAGACATCCATCCATAATTGATTTTCCAAATGCAAAAAAAAGGAGTGGTAAATACTACAGTACAGAGTGCAGTGGTGGGGTGGGGTGCGGTGGGCGTCATTTCTTCTTTTGGGCCGCGAGTTTGCAACTGTTCGAGACCTTTGAGTGCGTGGGGCAATCACTATTGCGCGTGAACGCTCTCATTATTTTTTTTCCTTTTAAATTCTCCTTTTCCTTTCACGACCTTTTTTTTTTGTTTGTTAGATTTACCATGTACAGTTGGACCCCACGAATAATTTCTTTAGATCCTCTCATTCATTGCAGTTTTTGACTTCTCGATGCATTTGGCATGATTTCTTTCTTTGTTGGATTGAGTTGGGTCACTGAAATCTTGCTTTTACCGTGCAGAGTATGCTTACACACTGCAAGTTGATGAGAAGAGTGATATTTATAGTTATGGGGTGGTGTTAATGGAGATTATAAGCGGCAAGAGGTCGGTCGATGCTGAGTTTGGGGATGGTAATAGCATTGTTGATTGGGTAAAGTCGAAGATAAAGGCTAAGGACGGGGTAAATGACATTTTAGACAAGGATGCTGGGGCATCAATTGCATCTGTGAGGGAAGAAATGATGCAAATGCTTAGAATTGCTTTGTTGTGCACCAGCCGGAATCCTGCGGACCGACCGTCAATGAGGGATGTCGTGTTGATGCTGCAAGAAGCAAAGCCCAAGAGGAAACTGCCTGGAAGTATAGTTAGTGTTGGTAGTGGTGACCACATTGTTACTGTTGATGGGGCTACTGCACAAAAGCCTGCAGTTGAATGTTGATATAAATTAATTTTACTGGTTTTTTCTTTTTCTTTTTTTTTCCTAATGTTATTTTTCAAATGGTGGGGATTGGTATAGGAGAAGTGATTTTTCTTTATTTATTTTCAATGGAGTGTTCTTGTTATAATCTCTTTAATGTTGGGTTATGACTTTTTGTTGTTTGATACTTATAATTAAGTTGGAGTGTTAATGGTTGTTCGTATGGAAATATATGAAGAGTGGGATCAAAAGTAGCTAAGACAAAGGTTTATAGCATGAAAACGCTCGGACCCATGATGCCATGGAAGCTAGCAAAAACAAGTTTCAAGGCTCCCGACCAAATGTGTATTTATCTTCTTGACCACCAATTACTCTTACCAGCTCAAATTTACTATATCCAATTTACCTGAAAGGGGAAGAAGTAAAGAGGAAGAAAATGCAGGTGGAGATTCATAGGGGCACCTGCGATATTATAGAGCTCTCGGCTAGTGTGTCTTCGATGAACAGTATTGATTAGACAGGACTTGATGGTGCAATCAATTATGATAATTTATTTTATTTTATGTTTATTCTAGACTAGGAAAGACTTCATCGAACTGAGCTATAAACTGTCTTGAGTTTAAGAAAATAAAAGTAAGATTAATTTTATCTGTCCAATCAAGATATCAGGTTAATTTATTACCCTATTATTATAAAAAATTAGTTAGTTTTTTTATATATATATTTTTTAATTAATTTATTTCAAGTTGACGTTTCCATGAAATGATTCAAGTTTTATTTAAAATATTGTAAAATTTTAAAATTATAATAATTTTTATTTTTATATTATTTTAGATTATTAGTCAACCCGATGACTTAAATCTGACTAGAGATCATGTATATAAAATTTTAAAATTATAATAATTATTATTTTTATTTTTATGTTGATCTAGATGAATAGTTAACTAAATTTGTAACTTAAACTTAGCATGCATTGACTATTGAGTCAGATTTTAAAATTATAGTATCAATTATTTTTATTTTTATGATGACCCGAGTTAATAATTAATTTGACTTAACTCAATATTGAGCATTGATTAGATTTTAAAATTATAATAATTATTATTTTTAGCCTTGTGTTGACTTTGATCAATGATTAACTTGATCAATAATCCAAGTCTTGTCCTGATTCAATCCATATGATAAATTTTAAAATTATAATAATAATATCTTTTATTTTTTTTACCCGGATTAATAGTCAATTCAACTCATAACTTGAGTTTTGCACATATTAGGATTTTAATTAAATTTAAAAATTATAATAATAATTATTTATATTTTTACACTAACTTGAATTAACTAAATTAACCCTTTCATATATAATTTATTCCACAATCTTACCCTGCTTAATATAGTAAAAACTTCTCAATTAAATAGGATAAAAAATAATTTTTATATTTTCTAAAAATACAATAAGCAACTTCAAAAATAAAAAAACAAAAATATATTCTGTTCAATCCATCATTTTCCAGCCTACCAAGTACTATCCAAATAATGCCTGCAGGCGAATTTCTTTGAATTTGAACATTCGAAATTGAATCCCTTAAGAAGGGGAAGGCGGCATTGTAAAATCCATCAGTTTTTTCATGTAAATGCCGAGAGTACTTCTTGCTTTCTGCAACACCTCCATAGCTGGAAAAAGAACAATTCTCGAACGAAATTAGAAAAAAAGCACCGTAACAAGCAGGAAACCAACCCAGTATTTTTTTTCTTTCTAGTTCTTGTCATATTCATGGATTCTCGAGCAACACCGAGAAGGAAAACTTTGCAAAATCTTCCCGCCAAAGTGGTTTAACTTTGCATGGGTCCGCTACTGAACTGGAATGTGGATAATCCAAACGGCCTGCACTGCACCAGCAATTGGGTGACGCAGCCGCTAAATATTTCAAGAACATGCCCGTTTTAGCAGCCCCTGGCATTTGCAAGGTTAGGCTGACGATTTTGTCATCTGCACACAGCACATAGACATTAAAATTAAAAAAAGAAAGTCTCAATGCTTCACTACTGGCCTTTGAGTGAAAACATTGTGCATAAGCAGTGTTTTTATTCTTTTAGTTCTTCAATTTTGGTTTTTCTTTGGTTATCAAGCCTTTTTTTTTCAATTTAATCCTTGTGCTTTGTCTTAATTGGTGATTAGCCTTAATAATTTGTTTTGTGTTGTTTTCTTTCATACTCTCTCAGTCTCAAAAATGTCCTAGCATCACGTTGCTTCTTGATTTCACAAAAAAAGAAAAAAGAAAAAATAGTTTAATTATTCGTGGAAAATAAAAAAATGAGAGGACTAAGGTTGAAAGTGAAGTAAAATGGTAGCCTTTTGTTTTAAAAAATTTTGTTCCTTTGTTTTTTTCTTTAACTATCAATTTTTTTAAAAAAATTTATACTTATTGATTGATAATTTAGCTTAATAATGTGTTTTGTACTTCTTTTTGTCATATTATCGCAATATGGAAAAACATCTCAATGTTAGGTTAATTCTTGATTTAAAAAATAATAATTTAGTCTATTGTTTGCAAAATAAAATAAAATTGAGGGGACTAAATTAAAAGACTGGTAAAATAGTAGCTTTTTTATATAAAAAAAATGGTGTCGGGCTTTTCAGCCTTCAGATTATGCTCAATATCTATTTTGATCTCCCTAATTTGAAAATTACACAATTTAGCGCAAAACTTCATCTTGCTCACGTTTTGGTCATTGGGCTTGAGAGGGGAGAATGATTCATGGAAAATGACAGATGGAGGATAAAAAAAGTCGGCTACTTTGATTTTGTTCATGAAGATAACCAAAAGTGATGTCAAAATGTTCAACCGGGTAAAAGGAATGTCGTTGTGGTGTTTTAAGGTTTTCATGTCACTGTAAAAGGTAAATCGGTATTGAGAGAGGTTTCTTCCGGTTTGATCTGGTCTTTCTAATTAGATTGAGGTATACATATATATATATATATATATGTATATATACATATATGTATATGTATGTATGTATATATATGTGTATGTATATGTATGTATATATATGTGTATGTATATGTATGTATATCAAGGTCCGGTCATGCAATTAGGCTCTGTTTTTAAAGGCCCTGGGATGCTTGGCCACAAGGCCACGCTCCTTGCATTTTTTTTCTTTCAACAATTAGTGTTTGCTTTAAAAAAAATAAAAAATTAAACATATATAATTTATTTAATATTACTATAATAACTAAAAATATTTTTAGATGTTCTTTTATTAAATTTCATTAAATTTTTACTTGATTCACAAGCAATTGTTATTCTTGTAGAACCCATCATGGATGTTATTTTTATTTTGGTTGGTTATTTTACTAAAATTATTGATTGTTATTGTCGTACATTTAAATAAAAATAAACTCATTAAATTTATTCGGGTTTGCAACTTAAATTATGAATTTAATAAATTGATTCATATCAATCTAATAAATTAACTCCTTACTTGAAAATAATAAAAATAGAATCTTATAATGTTTTAAAGCAAGTACATGTTTTTAACATTCTTTTAAGTTGTATTTATATGTTTTAATCCAATTAAAACACATAAAATTAATCCCTATATAATTTAATTTTAAATCCAAATTTAGCAATACATTCAGGTTAAAAAGTTTTGGGATCATTAACTAAAATGGGTTTAATAGTTTTTTTAAATAGTTTTTTCACCAAAACATACGAGTGTTATGTTGAGAGGATAGAGAGAAAAAATCACTGGATTTTGGCTTTGAGGGAAAAAATAATTATTAAAGAAAATTTTATTATGTTGAGAGGATAGAGAGAAAAAATCATTGGATTTGGCTTTGAGAGAAAAAATAATTATTAAAAAAAATTTTAATTATTAAAATAATTGATTTTTATGTTAAAAAGTTTTATATAATGAATGAGGTTATACTTGAGTGTTTTTTTTTTAAAACACTTAAAATAACATGTCCAAGTTTAAAAAGAATTTTTATTTCAACTAGATTTTATAATGGGTCCAAGTTTAAAAAGAATTTTTATTTCAATTTTATAATGATTTATTGGTTTTTTGATGATTATAAATTAGTTTAGCAGAGTTTTTAGGATATTTTCAAAGTATTGTAAATAAAAAATAGATTATAAATAAGATTATTGATGAAAAGTAAAGGAGGTTATTTTCTAACTGTCACATTAATCAGATTATAAGTTGAGAAGACGATGCATTATTCGCTAATGCGGGCAACATATTATTTTTTCTGAAATAATTGTCTGTCCCATTATTTAAAAAATAAAAATAAAAGCCGCTTTATTAAATCAGACACTGGAGATTGGTAATTATTTTCTTGAAAGGTTTTGCTGTGAATGCCATTACTTAACACATACACCAGATCTCTAACATATATGGAGGATGCCATATGAAATTATGAATAACTTAATCAATATAATAAATTAAAGTTATCATTCAATTGTAAAAATATGGTAGAGACTATGATGATCTCTGGACAGAAAAATCGCAAAGCTTAAATGGCAAACACCTATCCATATACACCCGCGTCGCACAGTGCAAATCCTTCTTCCCGCCATAAAGCCCTCACCTCCTCTCCTCCCCGCACACTCTCCTCCCACTACTCTATTATTACTCTCTCCCTAAAAAAAATAAAAATTAACTGTGTCCTTCACTTTTAAATTTTTAGGCTGGCTGGCTCGGTCGCTCTCTATTGAAGAGATTTGCAAAAACCCTGGATCATCAAACCAGGCCATGGATGATTCTAGGGTTTTCGGGGATAGTAACATCCCTACCACTTTTCGGTCCGGTGTGGGTACCATCTCCAGGATCCGGTTAGAGAACTTCATGTGCCATGATAACCTCCAAATTGAGCTTGACCAGTGGGTCAATTTTGTCACCGGTCGAAACGGAAGTAGGGACATCAAAACCCTACTTTAGGGTTTTCAAGTTTGTGTTTGATTTTTTTTTTGTTCATTAGTTGAGATTATTAGTTGTCTTGTTTGATTCTGGTGATGGCATGTGTGTAATTTGATAGGGGGATTATGAGGCTAATGGTCGCATTATTGAATTAATCTTTTTTTTTTTTAATGGGGAATTGGTGGTTATATAGGTGGCAAAAGTGCAATATTGACCGCTTTATGTATTGCATTTGGATGCCGGGCTAAAGGAACTCAAAGGGCCGCCACTTTGAAGGATTTTATCAAAACTGGTTGCAGGTTTGCGTTGTCTTGCCCGTTTGTTTATTTGCTCATTTTCTTCTTAAGAAATCAAGTGTTACTGGTTTTATAAGTTGTTTGTATAGAATGTGTGAAATTCTACTCCTCTCTTTGACTGCGTAATGTATTGCTGGAGAGTTGCAAAAGAGGCTGGAGAGCTGAAACTACACTTTGGAATGCTAAAGAAAAACCCTCGAACTTCAGAATTGTATACTTGGTTACTGTGTGCAATGTTATGCATTGCAGGCATTAATAGTTGTTCTTGTTATTAGAACTAGAGTTACTGGTAGTTTTAGCTCAAATATCTCTTTAACGAAACAGTGTGTTTATGCCAGCTTATGTTTATCTGATGTTGCTTCTTTGCAGTTATGCTGTTGTTGAAGTGGAAGTAAGAAACAGAGGAGAGGAGTCTTTTAAGCCAGATATCTATGGTGATTCCATAATAATAGAACGGAGAATCAACCAATCTTCCAGTACCACAGTTCTAAAGGATCACCAAGGTCTATTTGGTTTTCTGATAAAGATATCTTTAATTCATTTAAAAAGCCTTGAGTTCCTTGTGATTCTGATGAAAAAGGTATTAAGTCCCCTTGGACAATTGGGCTGTGTTTGAACGAATCACTGTTGAATGTATTTGTACTTGAATCCATGAAATGCCACTTCCAAACAATTGGAATTTTCTCTGACCAGAGATGCGTGTGCTCTTTATAGATATTTTGTTTTTCATTATATTTTAATTTCTCATAGAAGTATATGATGTGGTAAACTGGGACCATACATTGTAGTAATTGATGTATTTTTGAACATTTTCATCAATTTAATTGAGTCTAGATGCAGGTGTTTGTTACTTGTTGATGCTGGAGCCTTCCTTGCATTATGTTTTATTTTATTTCTGAAATTAAGGCTATAAGCATGTGGCCTCTTAGTTTTTTTTCCCTGGAGTTTAAGTTTCTGAACCCTAAACTCTATTACATTATTCCAAGTTCAATTCTCTTCTAGTTTTAGCCATTATTCTGCTGTATTTTTGTTCTCTATTGTTTTACTTTTTTCAGCCATGCCACATATCCTCTGCCTGTTTTCCGTAGATTACTGTTCTTATATATATATGGCATTTGGAATAGCATGGTATCTCTCTAGACATGGCAACGTTGTGTTATAAGAGAGAACTGTTTTTGTTTGTTTCTATTCCTTTCCACTTTGGGCTGATGTAGGTTTGAACTGAATCATGCTTGTTGCTGTTATAAATGTAGAGAAACATGTTGAGGGAGAAAGCAAATGAGGAAACTAAAGTGCTCCCTTCTTGTACTAATGCTTGTTTGTTACCGGTCGTGGAGAAATTATTCAATAAATTTTGCAAGTACTGAGGACTGAACATCATGGAGTCACATTTACACAGATATATTACCCTTGGAAGAAAATTTCTTTGTTTTTTTCCTGACTTATTTCCGAGGAAAACATCATTTGGTAGTTTCTTGCAAGGATTTTGAAGACCTTTTACCACATAACTGCATCCTGTTAGATTCTGTTTTTTCCTAGGAAAACACTGTCAGAGTTTTGAAAATTTACAGAGTCCAAGATTCTGCATTTATGAAGTATCTCCAATTTGATTTGATGGATGCAACTAATGGAAACAAAAATGACTATTCACATCAAATCTCTTCTTTTTTCCTTTTCTTTTACATTCTTGTTGTGGAGTGCTCTATTATTGTTGATTTAGGTTTTCGTACTTATTGTTGTTTTCACCATGAGATATTTGACAGGAAGAAAAGTGGCTAGTCGAAGAGAGGATCTTCGGGAGCTCATAGAACATTTTAATGTGAGTTTTTTACTCAAAATACTATCATTTTCCACGAAAATAGTGATTATCTCTTTTACTTATGCATGCAATGTTTTCTGCATATAATCAGGTAATGGCATTTTTCATAGGATTTTCTGCCATCCATTTTATTTCCCCAATGGATCATACCTATGTAAAAATATTGAGTTTCATTAGTTGAATCATTGATGCTCAATGATACGGAGCAGGTTGAGTTGGATGCCATGTGTGCCTTTTTATGTGCAATAATGTATTTCTCATAAATGGCACATTTGGCATTGTACATTTGACATGAATAATGTTATTGATCATTGATATTTGATGTGATCCAGATCTTTAACTCTGTTTCTCTGTTCTGAAAATCTGTTTCAAACTAATTGTTTTTAGTGTTGGTGATATTTATAATTGCTTGAACTTCAGGCATTTGGTTGTTTAATCAGTTTTTTTTTTTTCATATTCTAGGAAGCACGTTTATTCACTTGTTTTGTCACTTGTCACATAGCATGCACGTTATTTGATGGGCATGGATGATAAAGGCAGGAACTGTTCAATGAATGATGAGATATTGTGTACTTTTCAAAAATTAAAATTTAATCAACTCCTCATAAATTCTAGTGGTAATGTTCAAGATATTATGCTCTACATTGTGCAGATTGATGTTGAGAATCCTTGTGTAATAATGACTCAAGACAAAAGCAGAGAATTTCTGCATTCTGGGAATGAAAAAGACAAATTTAAGGTAACTTCTAATCTTATTGTGTGCATATTTAGTGCTAGGACAAATCATATGGATGCAGTACTGACATTCCATTGTGCAGTTCTTTTTCAAGGCTACTCTTCTTCAACAAGTTAATGATCTTTTACTAAGTATTAATGAACAACTGAAGTCTGCAAATGCACTTGTTGATGAACTGGAGGCTTCGATAAAACCCATAGAGAAGGAACTTACTGAGTTGCAAGGAAAGATAAAAAATATGGAGCATCTAGAAGAAATGTCTCAGCAGGTACAACAGTTAAAGAAGAAGCTTGCATGGTCTTGGGTGTACAGTGTAGACAAGGAAATCCAGGAACAAATGGTGAAGGTTGGAAAGCTTAAAGAACGTATACCCACTTGTCAAGCTAGAATTGATCATGAACTTGTGAGTGATAAATTCTAGAACCTGGAAGGACTAAAAATGCTATATAGATTCTGTGAACTGCAATATAGATTTGTATTTTTTTTCATCCTTTTTCATCCCTTCTCTGGAGACTTCAGTCAAATTTATAGCTACAGAATTTCCCTTCAATATGAGTTTGATTTTTGATCTTTTTTTGTTTGTTTTATCTAGTTGTATATTTTCCCTTAGGTACATCTTTATTTCCGTTGTTTCCTTTGCTTTTATTTTCCTGTGCTCACTATAGACAAATAGGTTCAAGATCTGTGTACTGGATGAGAATTGTGAATGTTGAGGTTTAACAAGTAAAAGCTTGCATTTAGTGGTTGTGACAATAAATTCTGGTAGCTGTATTATCAGGACTCTGCTGGCAACAGTGTGTTTCAGAAGGGAACGGGTTTATCTGATTGGATTTAAATTTAGGGAACAAAATGCTGGTACGTAGGGATTGTTAACAATGATACAATAGGGTAAATTTTGGAGTTGAATAAAATGGGAAAAAGGATCTAGAAGGCTGCCCCCCTATGCAGCTCTCTACGGGGAGAAAAGAAATAGAGATGCACAAATAAGAATAACGGAGGAAAGAAGAGGACTTTTATATAGGCTGAGTGGCAGGGAGGCATGCATGTCAAACCCATATGAAATCTCTCAATATTTAACTGAAAATTTTAAAAAATAGCAAGTTAGAGGAAAACCCCCATTGTTACTTATAACAGTTTATTAAATAACTTAAGATTTGCTCCCATTAAATGTCCTGTGGATTTACTCCCTGGGAAAAGCCTAAAATTAGGTGAAACTAGTGACCAAAAATCCTTTTCCTTTTGATACGTCACACTCTGCCATTCCCATCGGCTAGTCCCACCCTGTCCATTCCTTTTCTTTTGTCATACATGTCTTTATGTCTTGTTTTGACCCCAAAGTTTTAAGTTTTTAATTTTCTTCTAATTAAATTCTTCACAATTCCTTGATTTTCATGGAATTGCTGTTCATGGGTAAGAATATTCCAAATTTGTTTTTGAGAATGATGTATTTTATTTTATTGCCACCTTTATTCATTTGATGCTGGATTGCGTTCCTCTAAATATAATCAAGTCCATTTTGCTACAGATGTCTCTCATATACATGCTACGTATATGATTTCCTTGATTACTTGATTTTTACTTATGTGAGATGCCTATCTGCCGTTTCAATCTCTTTATTTCCTTTCCTTTCCCCCCTTTTGGGGGGTTTTGGGGGTGGGGTGGTTGCATTGGTTTTTGTGGAAAGTTGATTGTTAGGGTGTGCATCCTTTTGTTGCATTAAATCCGATCATAAATTACTTTGTAACTTCTTATTAAAGCATTTCTTTAATTTCTTTGCAGATGAAGGTGGAGGAATTGAGAAAAACCTTCATAGAGAAGAAAGCCCAAACTGCACATATGGTGGAAAGAGCGAAGGAAGTGAGGAATAAACAGGATGAATTGCGTAATACTGTTTCCTTGGTATGTTGGAAATTTCTATCCAGTGGAAAGTGACTAGTACAGTGTTAATATAATAAGTTCACTGCCAAAAGATCTGAAGTGAATGCCAAAACTGACAACTGAAAGCTTATTTGGTTGTGACAAAAACTTGAATCCTGTTTGGTTGCTTTTTTTTTGGTGTAATCAAAGAATGATTTCTGATGGAGAAAGAACCTGCAGATCAAGAATACATGTCAGTAAAAGTTCAATTATGTTGAGCATTTCAACAGAGCTGAGTTATTTCATTGCAGAATTATAAACTCTGCTGTTTTTTGACATTATCATGCAATTAAGAACGATTAGTAAATGCTGTAAAAACTACAGGCTGATGTATTTTGACATCTAAATAACCTACCACAAAACCATATGTATAACATCAAAATCTTTGTTAATCGCACAAGAGTCTGAATTTCAAAATGCAATCCTGGACCTACACTAGTTTCCTTCCCATCCACTCCTTGGTCAGGAAACAAGAAAAGAAAAACTTAGGTCCACATGTCTTATGGGACCTTGAGATTGGATGGATTATTAACATCACTTGGAACATTGAAACATGCTGGCATAATATGTCAATTGAAAAGGTTACATGAAGATATTTGTGCCCTGAATTATCTACACCATACCAAAAGAAGTGATGTCAATCAGAGTCGGATGGTTTCTATGATTCTTGCGCATCTTATGAGTGTTATCATTTTAGGTGTCTTTTGTGGCACATGTTATATTCTTCTTGATTTTGAGTTGGCACTTAATTTCACATTCTGTAGAATGACAACAGAAACAATATTAGATGGACCGGAAACAATCTAACCGGCACTAGTGAAACTAGGGATTGTGGTGGCGGCATAGTGAATAGTCAACTGTTTGAATGGTATGATCTGCATTGCGTGCTCCTGACATGCTTATTTAAGTTTATACCTTTCCTGCATATTCTTTACAGTCTGTCTTAATAGTTCACATATTCTGAAAATTGCTCCACCTGCTCATGCAATAATCATTTGTCAGGCAAGGAAGAAGAAACTTGAGTTAGAAAATGAGCACAATCGCCGAACCAATCAAATTCATAGCATGGTGAAACGTGTCAAGTTGCTTGAACAGCAAGCCCGGGATATTCATGAGCAACAAGTTAAAAATACACAGGTTCTTCCTTTGCTTTGAATAGAGATGGAAACCTTTCCCCCTACTAGTGCTCATTTCTGTCTTTTCTTCCTTTTTTTATTTGAGCATTCCTGCTAATTTCTGTGATCAAGTAATGCATAACAAAATTGTACATCTTATCATCCCTATTTCCCTCTTAAATATATGCAAATTGCTTGCATTGCACATTGATCTTTTGAAGACTATCATGTCAAACATATATTTTCATATCAAACAGTCCTTAAAGGAATCCTTGTTATGGTACAACAAAAGATAGGGCAACCCTCTTTTCAAAAATGCGATATCTGACCAAAACAGATTTCCTTTTCAAAGGTCATAATTATGCTGTAATTTTGAACCTCGTTTATCAAAGAGATTGAGGGGAAAGGTGGCATTGGAATCAAAATAATGCTGCCTTCTGGCTTTGGTGTTTGGTATTCCTAAAATGCCTATTGATCATTACTTCTTCACTTTGCATCAATTGCATTAGAGTATTAACTATTTTCTGTTGGTTGTTCCCCCCCTTTAGTTGGTGTTTGGTATTCCTAAAATGCCTATTGATCATTACTTCTTCACTTTGCATTAATTGCATTAGAGTATTAACTATATTTTCTGTTGGTTGCCCCCCCCTCCTAGTACTTTTACCACTTGTGTTTTCCTATTGGTACTTATATATGATGAAAAGGTGCAAAGGGGTTGTCTGCTGTTGCCAAGAGTATTCACATGTTTATACCTCTGACTTTCATTGAAACAGGCTGAAGAATGTGAAATAGAGGAAAAGCTTAAGGAACTTCAGGACATGGTTGATGTTGCTGATTTCACACTTTCAAGGTCTTTCATTTATTTGGTCCCACATTTTGTGTGCTTACACTTTACCTGTCTGAATGTGGATTTGACTTGCCCAGTTAATCTATAATATAACTCAGGTTGAAGGAAGAAGAGAGTACCTTATTAGAAAGCGTGTCCAAGGGAATGGATGAAATTAGAAAGATTACTGAAGAGGTATAAAGATGCTTAGCATAGTACAAATATTGAATCATGAAGAAACTATTTTGTTTAATTTATCATTAGTTTTCTCCTATCATGTCTTTTGACCTTGATATTTAAAGTGATTGTACCAATCGAATTGTTGTATAGTGTCATAAAAAAGTGCTTGTGAGCTTGCCTGGGCCCATGGGTAAGGGAAGGTGTATTCTTGGTACTTAGTGTAGGTTTAGGTAGATGGCTCCACTTGGCCACGACCATGGCCCCTTTCTTTTCACAAGATGCTGGTGATTGGCCCCATTTCTGGGGTGACTGGCTGAAGTGTTACTTGTTTCTCTTGCATTTGCTTTTGTATCCATATCTAAAGCTATTTCTATTACATGAATTCGAGGGTTTGCAAATATCTTTGAGGCTTAATATAATGAAAAGGCTCAAGATAAACACTACCATTATGTATTGAAACATGGCTTAATAGCAATAGAAACAGGGAAGGATTTGACCAAAGAAGGATGGTGTTACTGGGTGTAAATTGTCATTTTTATCATTAAAGGTGCCTTGCTTTACTTGGATAAGATGCCTATATCAAATATCCCATGACCTGTGCAAGGTAATAGTTCATTTTGAGTTCGATTTAGCAGGCAATGTGAAGCTCATCTGTGATGGTTTAATGTGAGGCCAATAGCTGTTGAAAAATATATTTTTTCACAGGAAGCTTTAGCAGGAATAGTTTGTACACATTATATTTGTTCTTTAAAACTTTTAAATATTTGTTTATGCTAGTCCAATGTTGTCTTTCTTGGGCAAAGTATGGGAAATTTTAAAATTTTGGTTTTCAGATTGAAGAGTATGGAAAGAAGGAACAGGAAATCCGTGCATACATACGTGAACTCCAGCTAAACAAAACCAACAAGGTTTGTGCTATTCCATTTAGTGTCATAACTGCACACAACAATTGATATTTCTTGTGTGTAATCATCTGCAAAAAGTAGGCCAAAGTGTTTTCCATGCTTTTTTCAACTTTGGAAACTAGGTGCATATGATATATTTTCAACATGCATGCCTTGATTTCTTACTTACAATTCTATAACAGGTTACAGCGTTTGGAGGAGATCGAGTGATTCAACTTTTACGTACAATTGAGAGACATCACCAAAGATTCAGAAGCCCGCCGATTGGTCCAATTGGTGCTCATGTGGTGAGTAAAAAACATTATGTATGCCTGCTGATAATTTTATACTGAGTCAGTAAATTTAAAATACGACTAGTGATTTCTAAAGTGAAGAAATCACCTTAAAAATCAGACAATGCACCAAGCAGGTCTTGCAAATAAAATGGCTAGTTTTACTTCTATGGGGCTTTGGAACCCTGATTGTTGCTGTGTGTTTGTCTCTGGGGAAGCATTTAAAACGACCATAATGATACACTGTCACATGCTCCACCGTCTTTGACTAGTTGCTTTACTCCTTGCAAACTTTTCATTGTTATTATGTGATTTTATCCTGGTTCTATTCCCCCTTCTCTTGTTAAACTTGTTGCTTAGTTGCTATTTTGCTGTGTGTTTTTAATCTCTCGAGATGCATCTAAATGGGCTACAAGTGATATTTAGGTTTTATGAGGTTTAGTGATATTCTGAAATTTCAAGAATCAATCAGGGCAGAGTAGTTTCTTCAGCATCTTTATGGTGTCAAGCTTTGAAAGAGTTGCGTGAGCTGATTTGCAGTAGGATGAATAGCACGGATGTTTTGATTCCTCTGTAACAGTGGAAGTCTTTGACTTTACTTTGATTTCTACTATTCCACTCTTGATAAAATCTTCTCTTATCTGAACAAAGAAATAACTTAACAAGGTTGCAGTGCCACTTTGTCTTAATGCCTTCTTTTTAGTTGTTTGTTCATATCATTTTTGGTTCTCAATGGTCATTCTTTCAATTTTTTTCTTTGAAGCCTGCTTGACCTACGTGTTTAAGGTAATTTGACCTGTTCTGGATTAATTTGGCTAGCTTGTAGTGGTTCTGAGCTCATCATTATGCATGATTACCTAACCTGTGATTTTGGTGAATTGAGCTCCTGCAACTTCAAATCTCTCTTGTAGAGGTGAGTTAATGCACTGGCCTAATGTAGTCCATGATGATTGAAAGTTCTTGGAGAGATCGCCTTCGTTTTGCTATGTATGGTGAACTAGGAACAAAGTCATTAAGTGACCTCTTTTTTCCATCATTGTTTCGAAGTGCCATCCACAGAAATGTTTTTGCTGTCAGTCATTTTGTTTATTTTGGGAACAATATAGAACTAATTATTCAAAATGATTTGTTATATGGTTTTGCTTTCAGTTGAGTCTATTTGCAGTGTCACACATCAATGCTATGTTGCATTGGAGACAAACTTTTGTTTCTGTTGATGTTTGGGACTTAATCTTTTTACTTCTCTGTTTCAAGTTGAGATTGGCCAGGCATTTCTGTTGTCTTATTGTGCGGAAAAATTTGCTCCTAAACACATGAATGCACCTTTCCTCTTAAAGAGCTTCTCAGAATATTAAAAGCTGATTTGATATTTTTGGCACAATACGTGGCAGAATGGTGCAAATTTTGGTTTTGTTTAATTATGTCCCGAGTTTGAAGAAATCAAGCAAAGAAGAATATTTGAGTGTTATAATACCTTATTTGCAGTATGACATCTCTTTGATGTTTCTATGTCTTGATATTACTTGAGAGCTATTTGTATGTCTTTAAGATTTATGGTTACCTATATACACTTAGGACATTTGAGCAGCTACCCTTTTTCCCTTGGTAATAATTATCAGATTTGTTTGAATTGCCCCTACCTTTCGACTAGGCTTTCATTATATATAGGAAAAGTAGTGCTGTTGTGCTGTACATAGTAATTACAAAGAGGAAATCTAGGAAGCTAAATATAGTAAGGTAAATTTCCTATTTAAGCATTTACAGCTGTATGCTTGATTTCAGCCTTTTATTGACATCCCCCCTCAAATTGATGCGGGCTTATCCATAAGCATCAATTTGGTCGTAAGAAAATGATGACGTTGTCGTGTGAGAGTCTTGGTAAAAACATCAGCCACCTGAAGGTTGCTGGACACATGTGGAAGTGATATAGTTTGAGCTGCAAAGGCATCACGAATGAAGTGGCAATCCACCTCAATATGCTTCGTGCGCTCATGGAAGATAGGATTGGCGGTAATGTGTATAGCACTTGTATTATCGGCAAAAAGAGGAGTAGGAGCGCACTGCTGAAAACCAAGCTCAGCAAGGAGCCCGTGGAGCCAGATGATTTCGGAACAAGCTTGGGACATAGCCCTGTATTCAGACTCAGTAGAAGACTTGGAAACACGGTCTTGTTTCTTGCTCTTCCAGGAAATAAGTGCAGGGCCAAGGAACATACACCAACCAGTAGTTGAACGCCGAGTGTCAGAACACCCGGCATAATCAGCATCACTATAAGCAATAAGATTAAGAGAAGTACCAGCAGGATAGCAAAGTCCTCTTTGAATTGTGCCATGAACATAACGAATTATTCTTTTAACAGCAGCCATGAACTGACTAACCTATTGTACTGCATAAGAAATATCAGGTCTAGTGTTTGTAAGATAGATCAAGCTGCCCACGAGTGTACGATATGCTGCCGGGTCTGATAATAAATCACCCTCATCTTTGCATAGCTTGAGATTAATTTCCATTGGAGTATCAAGGGGTGGCGAATTCTGGAGACCAGCAGCTGTCACCAAGTCCATGGCATACTTGTGTTGGGATAAAAATATGCCATGTGAACCAGCATGAATCTCTAGACCAAGAAAATATGTTAGAGGACCTAGATCCTTCATGTGGAAGGATTTCTGCAAATGTTGCTTTAGTTGATCAATCAGAGCTAAATCAGTACCGGTGATAACTATATTATCAACATACACCAATAGAAACACAACTCCATGTGCAGTCTTACGTAGAAACAAAGATGCATCATATTTACTTTTGAGGAAATCAAATTGAAGAAGGATAGAAGTAAATCTCTCATACCAAGCACGAGGAGCTTGTTTGAGACCATACAAGGAGCGGCGTAACTTACACACAGCAGAGGTAGGAGTGGAAAATAAGCCTGCTGGTGGTCGCATATATATATCTTCAGTGAGATCACCATGAAGAAAGGCATTCTTCACGTCCAATTGGTGTAAACACCAAATATTTAGATGCTGCGATGGCCAGAATTGTTCGAATAGTACCCATTTTGGTTATGGGAGCAAAAGTCTCCTCATAATGTACTCCATATTTTTGATGCTGAATGCTTGACTTCAGCCTTTTTATTGACAATAATATCTCATCTGAAATGTTTTAGGTCTTGTTTTTTTGTCAAAACTCGAATGCTTAAATCCTGAACGCTGGATATTTAAGATATCTTTTTGAATATTTCTGGATAGTCAGTGTCATCTGACTGAACAGTCAGACAGCTTCTCTTTCTTTTTGGAGTATTTCTTTTACATAAAATGGTTGTTGGTGAAATAGAGGACTTTTATGTTATTTTCTGCAATTAGTTTGGAATAGCCTTACTCGACCTAAGTTTAGTTGTTTTCTTTTAATTACTATGCTTTTTGTGCCCGTAGGTAACTTAGTTTTTATTGGGCTCTTGTGACAACTGTAGTTTATAGCTCGAGATAATTCCTATATGGGGTTTCAGTATCTGAGTCTGTTATTTTTCTGGGCATGCTCAACCACTGGAGCATTCCTCCAGTCACTAGTTAATGCATCTTGGTTAATGGTAAACCCTGCAGACTTTAGCAAATGGTGATAGGTGGGCTCCTGCTGTTGAGAATGCTGTCGGGAAGCTGCTCAATGCTTTCATTGTGACAGACCATAGGGACTCTCTTCTTCTGAGAGGATGTGCAAGAGAAGCAAACTATAACAACCTGCAGATTATTATATATGATTTCTCAAGACCAAGGTAGATGGATGGCTGCTTTTATTATGTTCTTATGGGTCTCTATGGTGGATACTTCATATTTTGTTATTGTTTTCGTCTGCAGGCTGACCATACCATCTCACATGCTTCCGCAAACTAACCATCCAACTACATTTTCTGTTATCCGTTCTGACAATGATACTATTCTAAATGTTTTAGTGGACTTGGTAAAATTCATAGGTCTCTTCATAGTTTCTTCCTTATTTAATTTAGTTTTTTCTACTTCCCTTTATGCTGTATTTGTTTTCTCCCAAAGCTGTTAATGTGCATGGACACTTTATAATTGTTTTTCTTACTCTTCCAGGGAAGTGCTGAGAGGCAAGTGCTTGTAGAAGATTATGATGCAGGAAAAGCTGTTGCTTTTGAAAAACAGATCTCAAATCTAAAAGAGGTTTATACAATAGATGGTTATAAAATGTAAGTTGGAATTGTCCATTTTAACTGGTGTCAGATCCAGTCTCAGATGACACTTGGTGATCCATATGAAATGCATGAGCATTGTTGGATTGTATACTTGGACTCACATGACCTGAATTCAGATCTCTGTTAAGTAGCTGACCTCATAAGCAATGAATCCATTTTGATTTTGGAAACTGTTGGTAATTCTGACATCGAGATACATAACTTATCTTGCCATTTCCTTTTCTTTTGGTCTCATAGCATATAACTTACAATAAAATACTTATATACATAAGAAAAAAAAAAAAGGAAACCCGCAGTAAATTTCATGAATGCCCAGACAAAAAGAGATGTATTTTGTTTTTTCAATAAAAGAAAAGGAAAATCTTGTCTATCAACTCATTGTACGTGTCTCAATTTGAACTAGGAATTATTTGTACAAAACAAATGCAAGTGTCCTTTAATTATTTGTACACGGGAAGTGATAGGATATGTTCCAGAACTCTAGTATTTATCTTGCAAAACTTCATATTTTAAGAAAACAAAATGATAAGAGAAAACCAAAGTGTTTTTTGTGGAATGGAGTACTCTTTTTGGATGAAACACTGCTTCACTCCATACTACTGGGCACTTTTATTACACAGAAAGCACAGGGAGATCATTAGGAACTTCAAATTGCAATATGCAGAAAATGATTTGGAAATGTGAATGGTACCTATTCAAGCTTGCTTGCATAATTGGGCTCCTCTTACATTCTATTTTGCAATGGTGTCCTCTGCTGCAGAAATGTTTATTACCTGTTCCTTCGTAGGTTTTCACGCGGGTCAGTCCAGACAGTTCTTCCCCCAAATAAGAAGCTTAGAGCTGGCCGCCTTTGTGGTTCATTTGATGATCAAATTAGGAATCTTGATCAATCTAAATCAAATGTTCAAAAGGAAGCTGATCTGAGCAGGAAGAGGAAACGAGACTCTGAGGCAAGCCTTCAACATCTTCAACATGGGCTAAAGATTATGAAGGTATAATTTTTTCTTAACTCTTGTTTATAAGTTTTTCAGTGATCCTTATATATTGACTTAATCCCGGGGGGGGGGGGGGGGGTGGG